AGGGAAATCATCGGCTTATGGCCTAGGTACAATCGCGGAAGGAACACGGTTAGACTGGGTGTGAGGGTCTCGATTCTGTCTCACGTATATTTCTATTAGTTTATGAAAATGTCATCGATTCATAATTAGTAGGAGAAGGGAGGGTATATAGAATTAACTTTAGATATGAATTGAATTATTTGAGAATATTACTTATTTAAATTATTGTGTTTATTGCTAAGATTTCCATAATGATATGCCACTTGTTTATTGTTTTTTTTCCTTGTTGAATAAAATATTAAGGGTTGAAAATGTTTCTGTGACCGTTATAATAACAGACACACTTAACAGAGGAATGAATTCATTCCCACACCCACGAGCCTTAAAGACCGTTATGCTACGCTACCCACAAGATTTAACGGTACAGTAAATACAATAAGAATAGGCCTACATTTAAATGAATTGGTATATGAAGAACACTAATACGACGAAGTTACACAAATTGCATAAAATTGAACAGAATAAAGTATAATGAAATTTAAATATGAAAAATTCTTATATTACATACATATATATATATATATATATATATATATATATATATATATATATATATATATATATATATATATATATATATATATATATGGTGTTAAGCTTCCTGAAAACCATGAGTATGTATCACGATTGAATCAATATGCGTCAAAAGTTCGATACTACAGCACGTGATGGCAGTCTAAAAGAGTGTCATAATCGATCACTTATTTCCTTTTGTTTGGGAAAAAGAAAAAAAAAGTATGCCCGAGAACCAACGTGTATGCCGTTGAATCATCGTTGGTTTTTCAAAACGCATATATACAGACTATAATTTTTCTATGATTATGCCTTGAAATATTTGCTGTGTGCAGAGTAACAATGTCTGGAGAAGCCAATTTTTCTTATCCTGTCGTGAATAAAAGGAATGAATACCTTTTAAAATAAAATACATATGTATAAATCACTGTAGCATCTTTTTTTTCAGGGTAAAAAGAAACGTATCTACAGAACGCTTTTCTTTATTTCGTGAGTGGATTTAAAAGTAAACAAATGAAGATCTCTGAAATGCATAGAAGCGCCATGGATTGCGGATTAATAGCTAACACAGACATTCAGAAAATAACATCTTAATTACATGCCTTCAGTACATTTTTTTTTTTTTTGGCATAGCTACATGGTATTCTAGATGCATTGCTATAAAGTTCCTTCGTACAGATGAGTAATTCTTAGTATTATGTTAGTAATGACTGCTAAATTCCAGCATCCTGGGTAAAGGAATTTTATGAGAGTGTTGCGAGTGAATTTCATCATAATAAGCAAAGGTCAGAGGTCGACTTTCTGCTTACCGGTGGCAGACTTTAAATATAAAGTAGCAGCGCCACGATATAAACAGTAATCCTTATCAACACTTCTCTTAAAACTCAAGTAAATAAATAAGTGTGAGTTTTCGGGATGGAGTCTTCCTAAACCTGGATGGACATAATGTCAAAATAACAAATTAAATATTAAGATATATGATGATTAAAGAAATCAGAACATACAGACGAAGCTAAGTAACTACGGTCAATAGGCAAGAGAACCCAGTGAAAGACACAGTTAACCTTAAAGGGAACACCGGACTTCTATGTGTTTGTTTCTGTGTATATACATCATCACACATCAGGAAAACGAACTGTTATTGCAGGCCTCGAATGTTCTGTGTATAACAAACAGAAGTAGTGCCATGTTTAAACCTTTCCCTTCTGGGGGAGGCGAGGTTGGACAGCCCTTTGCCCTTAGTGAGTTCAGTCCGACTATGAACACCTCGTCACAAACACTCTTTCTCGAAGTAACACCGGAGGGAGGGGGCGCCAGCGCGTGGCTAGTTCTTTCGGATCTTGAGCTGCAGAGCCTGGATGCCTTGGACTGTGTAGATGTCCGGTCCCCAGTAGTAGAGGCGGGCCTTGGTGTTGTCTCCGTTGCGGTTCCCAAGGGGAGCGGTCGGGTTGAGGCGGTAGCAGTTGTTGTACCACCAGCCTCCGTAGCCGAAGCTTTTTGAGCAGCTTTTCCCTGGTGGGGCGAAGGGATGCGGTTGTATAGTTCATACAACAGGAACACAAGTTGCTGAGTTCCAACCAGCTGACTGGACTATCAGGTTGACACTTTATAAAAGCAGAAAGGAAGTGTAATATAATATAAAAATATATCGACATGTATAAAGTTTGAAAGTTTGAATTACCTTCCCGGCGGTCATTATCCTGGTCCATCGTTGAGAACTTCATGCCGTTCGGGTTGTACTTCTCGCCGTTCTGGTCGACCTCCGTCAAGACGTCTCCCAAGGTGCTCTCCGTCGAATAGTCAGAAATCTTGATTTTGAACCTGAAATAGAGAAAGTGAAAAGCTGTCCTCTTCATAATTACACGACCGAGTACACACTTAACTTCAAACATGGAAGAAAATCACGTGGCATTATTTATGTGCTGCCTACTTGCTGTTCTCGTCGCCG